AGCGGGTCAGCATCTCTACTAGTTACTTACTACTAGTTACTTTCTGGTTTTGAGCCTCTCGAAGGCTGTGGGAGGAAGATAAAGTCAGTTTCCAAATGAGTGGTTTCCTCCTGCTGTTCCTGTCTCAAGATACCAGAAGAGGGATGATCGGGAAGAATTCAATTAACGAGTTCCTGTAGTAACGTTTGTTTGCCTTTGGGGTTCGGGTTTTTTTGTTGGCTTGCTTGGTTTTTGGAAGGAGAAGGCGCTTCTTAAGCGGGACCAGAAACCAAATGTTGACCAGGCCACAAGCGCTGGATTAAACCCAGTCAATGGTTACAGTCCCAATGTGAAGGGACCCCTTGGATCAAGGGAGGGTTGGTAAGACAACACTTAAGTAAACCCCGTTGATTCAATGGATCTACTCAAGGCGGGGGATTGACCATCTGTTGTAGCCTTTTTCTCTCTAACAAGGCAGGGGAAAAAGAACAAAACAAAAACCACAGCAGGCAAGTCTCTCACGAAACCCAAACGGCCTGTGAGAAGAGATTTCCCGAAGATGGTTTGCAAGGCAATCTGGAAAAATATCGGGTTTTCAGTTGGCTAAGCTTTGAGAAGCCATTTCCTCAAATACCTGAAGGTGACAGATACACACACACACAACCTCTATAAGGCCACAGTTATTTTTTTAAAAAAGCTTTTTGTACGTTTTAAATAAATTTATAGTGTTTTTAGAGAGATAATTTTAATTGGTTTTTTAAAAAATATTTTTATTGGAAAGTTTTAAACAATTTTATCCGTAAGTCGCCTTCGGTCCCTTTCTGGGAGAAAGGCGGCATGGAAATGAAATAAATGAATAAATATTCCCAGTAGGTAAGGAGCAAGTCTGGAGAGTTTGTCTCCCGTCTGCAAAGGAGCCCAAAATTGGACCTGAAGGCTTTAGACTGGCCAGAGCCTCCCGCCTCCGAAACCTCAGCAATTATTTTTCAGATCCTTTAAAAAAAAAAAAAAATCTCTTCTTCAAAATTATCTTTTTGAAAACAAAACAAAACAAAACAGTGGATTCCAGTCCAGGCTTACTACTAGCCAAACGAAACTAGATCCGGAGAACCTAGGAGCCCGCTCCTAGACGGCTATTTTCTTATGGGATTTCTTTGGTGAATCAAAAAGTGGGGAAAGGGGCTTTTTTGGGGGGGGG